TATGACAAAATAATAATTATGAATTATGAAAGATTCATGAGGGAGAGGGGGAGGAAGGGGGGAAATGAGCAGCCGATATTAAGGGTTCAAGTAGAAAGCAAATGTTTTGAGAATGATGATGGCAACAAAAGTACATATGTGCTTGACCCAATAGATGTATGTATGGATTGTGATAAGAATTGTACAAGCCCCCAATAAAATAATTTTTAAAAAATTGGCCATCACAAAATAAATAAATATTTTAAAATGTATACATTAAAAAAAAAGAACAGCCATCGTGGGCCAAAGAAATAATGATAATTGCTCCCATGTATTGCATTGTCGCAAACAAGAACAACAATGACAGCAGTTAACACCGAGCAACCATCTACCATGTGCCAGGCTTTCGTCAACGTGCTTCCAATGCATTTTTACTTTAATCCTCCAAACAAGCATGAGGCAGAGATTACCTATCATTATCACCACTTTTACAGAGGAGAAACCAGCTCAGAATAATTACATAAAGTCAATGAGGTAGATACTATAATTATTCCCATCTCAAGACATGGCAACAGACTTAGAGAGATTAAGTAGCTCAAGGGTTTCAAGTGAGACAGTGAAATTGAAACTCAAAGCCAGGTGGGCCTGGTTCCAAAAGCCATGGCAGCAGTCACCGGGTGAGCTGTGCGGAGGCAGAGAGAGCTGCGGGGAGAAGAGGATGTGCAGGCGGACAAAGGGACCTAGAGAAACGGTGACGACAGGGATGACACTCGGGCACTGCCCTCAACCCCTAGTCTAGCTTTTCAGCTATTCTTGATCCCCAAGAGTTTCTCTTTGCCCTAGCTTTGATTTGATCACCTTGACTTCAATGTATCGACGTGGAAACTCACCTTAGAAGTGTCTTTGTCCCTCTGGTGGAGTGCCTCCAAGTGTTTACACCCACGGCAACCAAGCCGATTCCAACCAACTCACAACAACTCTATAGATCAGAGTAGAACTGCCCCTGTGGCTTTCCAAAGTTGTCCATCTTTATAGGAGAAGAAACCCTCACCTTTCTCCCAAGGAGCAGCTGGTGGGTTCAAACTGCTGACCTGGTGGTTAGCGGCCAAATCCGTAAGCTACAACACCACCAGAGCTCCTTAGTAACTGGCTAACAAACATAAACCACGATCCTAAGTATCTGACAGCATCTATCGATGAGTGGGGGAGTTATGATTTAACAGAAAAATAAACAAGCATTCGGAATGCTTTCCAATATCCTTCCCACTCATTACCATTGACATAACCCAGAAATACCCCCATCACGGCAAATTCTGCACTTGTTTCTGCCCTAGGGAGTTGTTGCAGGAAATCCTCTCTGCTCCATTCATATACTTAAGGAAAGGACACGTCAAATAGGCCTATCAACCAGGGTGTTTGTCTGGGCTCATTTTCTTTTTTAGCTATTGGCAAGCCTTCTCTTCAATTGATGGGGGGGAGGGGGGTTGAGCTCATTTGACAGCAGAGAGAAGTCGCCTCTATGTAAAAATCAAATATCATTAAGTGATCAGGTAGTTAGATACATATGTAGCATGTGCTATAAGTGATGAACTGAACATTCCGGCCTTCAAAGTTAATCCAGAGTAAAGTCTGGATTAACAGTGGTATCACTGATCTTGTTTTTAAGTTACACTAAGCAAAGCAGTCTCCTGTGTCCTCTCCGGGATTCCCCTAGTCAGACGATCCAACTGGGATAGAGGAGACCCAGTATTATTAGTATCATGAGTCACACAGACCTCATGAAGTCTACACACAAGGCAAGTATCAAAAGTCTGTAGCCCTCAAAAAATTGCTCACTCCCACCACCATTGAGTCAATACTGACTCAGCAACCGGAGCAGAACCACCCTGTGGGTCCTCAAGACTATAACTCTTTACAGGAGTGCAAAGTCTCATCTTTCTCAACAAATGGCTGGCCTTTTCAAGCCACTGACCTTACAGTTAGCTGCCCACTATAATCATATCACATGTAATCATAATAAACAGTGTGGCCCCAGGGCTCCTAGAGCTGTTCACAGAAGGGGAGAAGAGTTAAACTAAAAGTAATATTATTTTAAACATTATTGCTCCAGACGCATTGGTGGGAGGGCCTTAATACAGCCTGTGGGTGGGTAGACCCTTCTGTACCCTAATCTAAGTTACCCCAGGTGTCCCAGAGGCCTCAGCATGCAAAAGCAACACGAAGTCGCCGTCGAGCCTTTACCTTGTTCGTTGTTTCCACCATTAAGTAGGAGTTCATCATTTTGCCTTTTCAATTCTGTTATATACTTAAAGGCTTGGTCCAGGATCATATTCTTACTCTGCCAAGAAAAAAAGGAAGCATTTACAAGTTTGACAGAAGAGACTTAAAAGGGCAGAGGGAGACCCGGGTTTGGCTTCAGTTGTAGCCCATTTATGACGGGGTTCCAGAAAGCTCATGGCACTTTGGGGTCCTCACTTGCAAAGCTACGAAAGAAAAGAGGAACCAGGGCTGTGCCAAAAAAGGGTGCTGCCACCTGGAGCCTCTTCACTGCACAAGCTGCACCTGCCGCTCGCCTGAAGACCAGGCCATTAGGGAGCTCATCACTCCGGACAGAGCCAAGGCTCAGCCGTCAGGGCCACTTCCAAAGTGAGCGTGGCCATCACTGTCCTGCATGTGCTTCCCAAGCACAGCCTTCTGGGAGCTGCACCATTCACAGCAGGTGGGCAGGCACCGTCCTGGGGAGCCTGGAGGGACAGAAGACCCCCACCCCATTTAGCCCACAGGTACTGCCCCACACCCACACCAGCAGCCCTGTGAAGATTTTTTTTTTAAATACTTGTGTTGGGGGCTCTTACATCTCTTATCACAATCCACACATTCATCCAGTGTGTCAAGCACACTTGCACATATGCCGCCATCATCATTTTCAAAGGCTTCTCTTCTCACTTCAGCCCGGTATCAGGTCCCCATTTCTTCCCCTCCCTCACAAACTCTTGATAAGTTATAGATTATTATTTTCATATCTTACATCATCCTTTGTTACCCATCCCTGACTTTCCCCGTAGTTCGTCCCCCTGGGAGGGGGATATAGGCTGATCCTTGTGATCAATTCCCCCTCTCTCCCCCGCCCCACCCCTAATCCTCTATTCTCCTTGTTGGCCCTGAGAGGTTTATCTCTCTTGGATTCCCTGTGTTGCCGGCTCTTATCTGTAGCAGTGTACATGCTCTGGTCTGATCCGATTTGTAAGATAGAACTGAGGTCATGATAGTGGGGGGAAGGAAAAACTAGAGGAAAGTTGTTTCATCAGTGCTATACTATACGCTGACTGGCCTATACTATACCCTTGTGCTGGGTATATACCAGTATATACCCAGTATATACTGGTGCTATACTATACCCTTGTGCCCACCCTGAGAAGATTTAAGAAATCTTTAGAGGCTAAAGAAAAAACAACCTGGGGGGAGATGGAGTGGGGGAGAGAAAGAAAAACCAACTTGGGAGAAAATAAAATGGAAATTATGTCGCTTTTTTTAAAGTCTAAGGAAAATATATAACGAAAATAACTGTGCACGATTTATAAATGTTTTGCACAAGAATAAACTTGAACTAACAGATTATAACGTGTCTGACCAATATCTAGGTGGAGGCACTCGCTCACTCGCGGCCACTGTGTCATTTCTAACCCATGCACCCCTAGACAGCGCCCAACTCCCCAGCGGGTTGCCCAGACTGTCTACGGTGAGTGGAAAGCCGCCTCCTTCTCCCAGGGCCGCTGGTGGTTTTCACTGCTTGTCGTTAGCTGCCTAGCGTGTCACGCACTATGCCACCAGGGCTCCCTTAGAGGCAATGGGAAGAAGAGATGACTTCCAAAACATTCCCGACCAGCGCAACGTAAATTCTGCCAATACTGAAGCAAAAGCAAATATAAAATTGATGGTGGAAAAAAAACGGATGGTAAAGTGCAGGTGGAAAAATGGTGGACTCATTGATGCTCTGTGAAAACTTTATGGGGACAATGGCCCAGAGTAACCAATAGTTTCCAAACGGGTAACTCAGAGGGACTAGATGATGTTGAGGCTGGAGCATGCAACAGCGACCGTGCATGTAAATGCTGTTCAGGCCCAGGCAAGGTCAGAGGTCATGGCAACAGCCTTTTAGATGCTCAAGGCATTTTACTGGTTAACTTTCTGGAGGGCCAAAGAATGAGGGCGTCTGCTTACTGCGAGGGTGTTCTGAGACAGTTTGCCAGAGCTTCAGCAGAAACACGCCTGGGCAGGCTTCGCCAGAGTCCTTCATGACTTTTGAGAATGGTCTTGCTCATTCCGCACATCAAACAAGGGCAATTCCCCGAGAGTTTCTATGGCATTAAGCATCCACCTTACAGTCTGTGGTAGTTAGATACCTTTCTGTCAACTTGAAGGTGTATAAAAGTGTAGGGATGGTATCCAACCTGTCAATCAGATCACAGCCTGATGGTGCTTCCTTGGGGCGTGGCCTTCTCATAGGAGAGCCTCGGGAACCTCCCGCTCTCTCTGCCACTGGCCCTGAAGCTGCCGGAGCCCTTGGATCCCAACCCTGGATCCAACTCTGCACCTACCGACCAGTGATCTTCTTGCCGTCTGTCATTGAATGTGGCTACGTGAGTCTGCAGAGGGACTGAGGGACTAGGATCCGGCTTGGATGCTTTCTTGATATATAATTACTTCTTGATATAAAGCACATATATGCTCAGTGCCACTGATTCACTTCTCTAGTCAACCCGGCCAAACACACAGAGTCTGCTCCTTCGAAATCCTAAGCAACTCCCTCACTGGACAGACCAGTTACACAGAAAGTGGAAGTAATTGAGAGAATCTTATTAGGAAGTAATAAGAAGCTAGCCTGCTTTCCCTTTCCCATTCCCATCATCCTATGCAGCTAGATGACTTCTCCATCCTGCCTCAACCACAGGAGACATTGATGTTCTGTGAAATTTAAACCAGAGAATGTCAACCTCCACAATACCTGACGGAGAAGACGGGATGGAGCTCCCAAGTGAAAACAGGGCGGTAAAGTAGAACCCTGCCTGCTGCAATGTGAGCTCCCGCATCCCTCCCGGGACCCAGAATAATGGGACCAGGTTTAGGAGCCTATTCCCCGTAGTCCACTCCCCCACTCCCAGAAAGCAGTCTGAAAGATTCTTCTCTGGGGGGAAAAAAGCAACTACAAACACTTTTCCATTTCTCCCCAAACAAAATATAGCTCATCTAGTCACAGAGCAGTTCAAAAAAGCCCCTCGCAGCTATCGAGCTGATTCTGACTCATCGCGACCCCAGAAGGCAGGGTAGAACTGCCCTTGAGGGTTTCCAAGACTAACTCTTCAGGGGATAGAAAGCAAAGCCATCAGAAGTCAAACTTCTCCAATCGGCTTTTTCATGCCTCATTCCCAAGTGTAAATAAACCACTCAAAAAAACCCAAAAAAACCCCCTCACTGCCAGCGAGTTGATGCCAGTCCATAGAGACCCTATAGAACAGGATAGAACTGCCCCTGTGGGTTTCCGACACTGTAATTCTTCAGGGAGTAGAAAGCCTCATCTTGCTCCCAAAATAAACCAGTAAGTACCAACCACAAAACACAGAAAGCCCCAACAAGAAAAACAATATAGGAAAACAAGGGAGTAAGGGGGGGATGAGAATTAGAAGAAACAAAGATTATGCAAACACTGGAAAGCCTTTGTAACCCTGCATAACATCCTGAGACTGCAGAAACACTCCACCATGAAACGGCTTATGCTCTGATCAAGGAAAACACAGCCCATGCGTGAAAGTTCTTGGAAATGACGGACAGGAGGCTTCATATTAAAACCAGAAGAGCTGGAAGAGAATAACCACTGAGGTTAAAAGGAGAGTACACAGCCCAACAATCTACAGGCTTGGAGGGGAAGAATAACATCTGAGAGGTATACGCTCCTTAAAACAAGCAACAGTACAAAATCAAACGGACAGCATTTGCTTATGGATGAAAACTCTTAAAAGCAAGAAGGAACAGGAAAGAAGGATGAATAATAATATAAAAACACGGGAGGGCAGAAGTGGGAAGAATGCTGGTATATCTTGGGGACTGTATGAATTGTTGAATGGAAAACCAATTTACTCTGTAAAGTTTTAAATCATAAAAAAAGGTTTTATAATAAAAAAAAAATACAAGGAGAGGACAAAGGAAAAGGAAATTCTCAAAAGAAAATGGAAATTATGTGGTACATTTGATCATGTAGGAAACTATACGAAGAAATTGTTGGAAGTGTAAGAAGAATTAAAGATAGAAATATAAAAAATTAAGCAAATTAAAAATGATGAAGCAATTATTAACTAAGAAAAACACATGGAATGGAACATAATAACAGTACACCTGGCCAAGCAGGGAAACAATTTGAAATTTAACCAAAAATACTGAATACTAATGTAGGTTCTCTTGGTTACATGTTAATACATTAACCTTAAGGTCCACAGTTTGAAACCACCAGCACGCCTTGGAAAAAAGGTAAGGTTTTCTACTCCGTAGAAAGATTTATAGCCTGACATCTCATGTGGGCAGTTCTACACTGTCCTATAAGTTTGCCATGAGTCAGAATCAACTAGCCCTAGTTAAACTAGTTTGAATACTAGTTTAACTAAAAGTTGTGAAAAAATTGTATTAGGAGGAACAAGGAAGGCGAAGCCAGGGGAAAAGTTAAATTAGAATGTTAATAGTTCCGATCTAACAGGAAAAATCAAGATAGGACAATATAGGCCCATTATTTAGAAATATAAAGACAGATACCAGAAGAAACAGTTGAGACTAGTTCCCTCTGAGGACCCATATTAAGGTTGTGGGGTGAATTAAAATTACTTGGGATGGCTCCCACCAAATGACTAGGTGGGAGCGTGCAAATAAGGTGTAAAGGACTCTAGGAGGGAACTGATGGTTTTCACCATTCTTCTGGGTATAAAGTGAGCCCACTCAGAAGCAGGAAGGGGGTGAATCCCTGACCATTAAGAATGAAGCACTGCCAGCAGTGTATGTGTGCCATCCCTCTGTGAAGTGCTGGCAGCACCAGAGGTGCAGATGCAGCACCAAGAGCATGGGACAGAGTGGAGGCCCACAGGCTGAGTCAAGCTGAGTGCCTTGGGGCAGGCAGGGAGCTGGCACGTAGATCTAAGTGCCCTCTGGGCATTTGTCAGCACTAGAGGTGCTTTGTCACACTTGCTCAAGCAAGACAGAGGCCAAAGGGCTGAGTAGCTTAGGAGAGATGTGCCTGCCAGCATGGCTGAGAAGAGATGCTGTGGACCAAAGGACTGTATCCATGTTGTCTAATCCTGGCTTGTGGAAACCTGCTCATTTGTTAAGCGCTGTCTGGGAGGTCTGGGAGGACACTGCAACAGATTATCGGACCCAGCCGAGAAGCCGAGTGCCATAGGAGGGACGGTTGGTGTCAGAATGAGGTAAAGCAAGTTGTGGAGTGGAGTGGAGTGGAGGTCAGTTTGACCTCTGTCTCATAGGCATCGTCCTTGGGCAGATGTGGCCTTGTGTAGCCAAAGGAGATCAAACATGGCCTCAAACATTTTTACAGCGTTTTATTATGATTTAAGTGAAGGTTTACAAAACAGGCTATGAGATTTACAGTCAACATTCAATTGACTTTTTTTAATTCACACCTTCCATATTGTCCAAATTGTTTTGCTTTGTTTTCAATGAGCACTTTTTATCTTTGCTAACAGAAGAAACAAAAGGTTATCTTTATTAAGAAAAATTGTCATGCTTTGAGACTTTAAGAGGTGGCTGATAGGATGTGGAAAACAAAATAAGAGCTTTCTTTCCTTTGAAAGACTCTAGCTAAAAATGTGAAGATACGTACACAGATGAACAGGCAGAAAATAATGAGATGCTTGGTGAATGAAGGGACAACTCTCACGACCATCGAGGTGATTCTAACTCATAATGAGCCCACAGGACAGAATAGAACTGTTCCCGTGGGTTTCCGAGTCTGTAACTCTTTATGATGGTAGAAAGCCTAGTCTTTCTCCCGTGGAGCTGCACGTGGCTTTGAACTGCAGACCTGGTGGTTAGCTGCCCCACGAGAAACCCATTTTGCCTCCAGGGCTCACCACTTCCAAACAAAGGACCCATATATAAACCTAATTATTAATTAAAGGGAAAACACAATGGAAAGATCCTATAAATAACAAGGAACAAGAATAATTTAAGTACAGAAACAACTTAGGGAATTGTCTGTTCACAAGAAATGAATGGTAATATGGGTTCTTACCTGCTTCAGGGCAGGGGAGCATGGAATCAGCTCTCCTATTCTGTTTATTCCAGCATTGATTTTCTTCTTTCTATGCCGCTCCACTAGACAGGGGGGGAAATCCATTTATCAATTTATCAATTTTATACTATAGCTGCCAAAGTACTTCATTCCCTGGGTAAAGAGATTTTAGGTAAAGAAATCCCTAAGAAAAGTTTATCAGACAAGAGCTACTAAGACAAATAACTAACATAAATCCATGAGAATTCTAAGATTGTCATATTTTAAGCCTAGTGTTACAAAAATTCACATAAACAACACTTTTATTACCATGCTAAAGAATGTGGTCTTTAATAATTAAATTCAAACTAAAAACAAACTGCTAATATTATACTAGAATTAGGCCACCTTTCTAACTGAAGTAATTGCTAGTTTTCATGTTAACTGAAGTTGAGCCCACTAATAAGCTAGCTGTTGCGAGGTAACAAGTTGACATCAAGTCAATTCCAACTCATGTGTGTAGAATTGCTCCATCGGGATTTCATAGCTGTGACCTTGAAGAAGCTGACTGCCAGGCCTTTCCACCCAATGCCTCTGAGTAAGCTTGAACCCACAACCATGTGGTTAATAGTCAAACACTTAGCCGTCAGAAGCACATTTGGAAGGATTCAAACCACTAGTCTTTATGCCGCCCAGGGACTAACAGTTGGGATGTTACACCTTTTCAGACTGGTTCAGTAACCGTGAAACACCTTTTAAGAAGACCCGAGGGCCCTGTGGAACTAGAAACAGCTATTTGTTTTGACTTAACACAGACAAGAAATGGCACTGGTTGGCTTGGCTCTCTGTGGTGTTCAGTCTGTCCATGTAGCATCTTTCCCATCTATGAAAATGGGCAATCGACAACTTGCTTAACTGAGCTATGTTCCAGGCTTATATGCTATAACTTTAAAAGTTGCATGGGGGGAGGGGAGAAGGTGGGGGAGGGGGAAAATGAGGAGCTGATACCAAGGGCTCGAGTAGAAAGCAAATGTTTTGAGAATGATGATGGCAACAAATGTACAAATGTGCTTGACGCAATGGATGGATGGATGGATGGATGGTGATAAGAGTTGTACAAGCCCCCAATAAAATGATTTATAAAAAAATAAGTAAATAAATTAAAAGTTACATGGAAGGGAGAAAGGATATAGACTATTTAAATAATGTATATGAGACACTATAAGGAGTAAACATTATTTGTACTGGCTATTTTCTGTTAGAAAAAAAATTATAAACCTTCCTTTCTAATACAGGATTCCAATGCCCCTAAGCAGGTGATTATTCGGATAATAATATGGGTAGGACTTGTTTTACAAACTACCTAGAGTTTTTGCTTCAGAACCTAGCAGTAAAGCAATCCTTTTCCATAATTGCTTATTACTTTCAAAGTTGCTGCCAGACCTATTTATGGCACCACCTGATAGTCAATTCCAATAAAACTTCAATTTCTACAGCCAAAAAAGATTAGATTCATTACATACGACCCCAAAAAGGAAATGCACATAGTTTGCCTTTCCTCTGAATTCTCTAATGCTGGATGAATATAGAACATCTAAAAGCCTATTTCTGATGTGTGAAGGTTTAAAAAATAAAAATAAAAAGGACATGTTAGCCATAACAATAAATGGGACTTCAAAAGCAGTAAAGTTTTTATTTTGGGGAACCCAATCTCTCAGCAGTGAAGATACTACACATCCCCCCACACACACATAAAAAATTCCCCAGGGTTCATCTGCTCATGAGTAAAAAGACCCTCAGAGAACTTAAACTATCATTTACAGGGTGATCAAAATTCACCTCTAAGATAGTTTTCCTCATCCTGATGATGGTCCTTAAGGAAAACCAAAGGTTACACAATGGATCCCGCTGTGAATAAGTGCACTACTCATCTTGGCTTTGGTCTACAGTTGTGATGTCTGAGGGCGAACCAACCGTTTCTGTGCTACGTTCTCCTGTAATCCAGGACACCACAACTTACTGGAAACTTCACATCCGTGACGAAGCACACCTGAGAGCCACAGCCTGCTGCTCACCTCCTCCATCAGGTAGCAGGCAGCCAGCCACGTGCGGGCTTCTACAAAGACATCTACCTCGCCTGAGATCTGATCAGGAGAACTCTGAACCCTCTCAGTAGGGTAATCACGTGAAACACTCTTTGCAGGAGGGGACTTAGGGCTGGATTTTACATATTTAAACAGACTGAAAACCATAAGATAATAAGGAGGCCGGGGGTGCTTTTGACAACTAAAAAGAAGGGAAAACTTTTCTCAAACATTGTAAAGAATGACTTGACACCTTATAGCCTTAAAATGGCCAATCAACAGCAGAATGATTTCATTTCTTAAAAAAAAAATGTATTAATCATTTTATTGGGGGGGGGGGCTCTTACAAATCTTATGACAACCCATCATTCAATTGTATGAAGAACACTTGTACATATGTTGCCATCAACATTTCCAAAATATTTCCTTTCTACTTGAGCCCTTGGTATCAGCTCCTCATTTTCCCCCTCCTTCTTTCTCCTCCCACCCTCGTGAATCCTTGTTCAATTACATATTATTGTTATTTCTGTCTTACATGGCCATTGTCTCCCTTCCCCCACATTTGTTATTCATACCCCTGGGGGGTGGGTCTACATATCCAACCTTGTGATGGGTTCCCCCTTTCCCCCCCTCCACCCCCCATCCCTTTAACCTAGGATGATTTCCTTTGACTGCTAACAAACACTCTGAATGCTAAGAGGAAACCAGCAAATAAACATTTAAGTTGTCCTTTGTACCTGCATTGTGCGTCTCCCGGTTTTTCTTTCTGAAACAGAAAGTGTGGATAAAAGGTTACATAAAAATAATGGGAAAACATTTCCATCACTTTATATTCTGAGACATGAAAAAAATGTGAGGAATGTTTGTGTCTCAATCAGGAAGCATTTGAAGAAAAAGTTTAATTCATAAAAATGGGGGCTTCAGAAGCAACAAAGCCCACATGGAAGAAGCACACCAGTCTGTGCGATCATGAGGTCTCAAAGGGACCAGCTATCAGGCATCATCAGAACAAAAAAATCATATCATTGTGAATGAGGGGGAGTGCGGGGTGGAGACCCAAAGCCCATCCGTAGGCAATTGTACATCCTCTTACGGAAGGGTCACAGGGAGGAGATGAGCCAGTCAGGGTGCAGTATAGCAACGGTGAAACATACAACTCTCCCCTCACTATCATGATCCCAATTCTACCTTACAAATCTGGCTAGACCAGAGGATGTACACTGGTACAGACAGGAACTGGAAACACAGGGAATCCAGGGCAGATGATCCCTTCAGGACCAGTGGTGAGAGTGATGATACCGGGAGGGTTCGGGGAGGGTGGGTTGGAAAGGGGGAACCGATTACAAGTATCTACATATAATCCCCTCCCTGGGGGACAAACAACAGAAAAGTGGGTGAAGGGAGATGTTCGGACAGTGCAAGATATGACAAAATAATAATATATAAATTATCAAGAGTTCATGAGGGAAGGGGGAGCGGGGAGGGAAGGGAAAAAAATGAGGAGCTGATGCCAGGGGCTTAAGTAGAGAGCAAATGTTTTGAGAATGATGAGGGCAATGAATGTACAAATGTGCTTTACACAATTGATGTATGTATGGATTGTGATGAGTTGTATGAGCCCCTAATAAAATGATTTTTTAAAAACAAACAAAACAAAGTGGGGGCTTTAAAAAAAGTGTGTGAAAAATATTCCATTATCTCTTCATTCCATTTTTCCATGAACTCTTTGAAGTTTTCTCATATTATGGTCTTAAGATCTAACTGAAAATATATCAAGATAAATTTAGAAGCAATAAATCCCTAAAAATCTGGATGTTACAGGTTGGGGAAGGATTCTGTCATTGAAAACCCTAGTATAAGTTAGAAGCAATTTGAAAATGTAATTCATAATTCAGTAACATGGCAAAGCAATGTGTCAAACAGGTGACTTCTGGTCTGACTCCCGCATCTGCATCTCCGTGGCTGGGAATAGGTGTGGGAGTAGGGGAACTAGGTAACCATCGAGAGCGGGCTTGTAATCACCACAGAGGGAAATGTAGCAGCCAATCACCTAGAAGCACTAACAACTGCATTTGACCAATCTTTTGCATTGTGTACTCTAAGCTGTCCACACTCCTATTTTCTTAAAGGCTGATCTACCAAAAGCACTGTTTTACACACAATTACACAAGACATTAGCATATTGCAATAACTATCTAGTAAAGAAATAGGACTTTTTGATATTAAGAGAAGTTTTGGCCATGAAATTCTAAGCAGAAACATTACTCAAAAATGCTAGAAATTCAGAAGGACTCCACAGAAACAGAAGCAAAATTGTGCTGATGTGCATATTAGCACTTATGGGCTGTGATGTCATGAAATGTTGATTCAAACTGGCTAGCCCCTAAAGCAGCGATTCTCAACCTGTGGGTCGAGACCCCTTTGTGGGTCAAACGACCCTTTCATAGGGGTCGCCCAAGACCACTCGGAAAACACATAAATATTTCACAGTATATAATTACATATTATTTTGTGATTAATCACTATACTTTGTTTTATTATGTTCAATTTGTAACAATGAAAATACATCCTGCAGATCAGATATTTACATTATGATTCATAACAGTAGCAAAATTACAGTTATGAAGTAGCAATGAAAATAATTTTATGGTTAGGGGTCACCACAACATGAGGAACTGTATTAAAGGGTCGCGGCATTAGGAAGGTTGAGAACCACTGGCCTAAGAGAACTGGGGGGTCTATTACAATCGGTACTATATACAAGTTAAATTTCAACAGAAACCAAACATTTAATAGACTTGGCCTTACCCTAGTCTTCTAACTGCTGATGATTCTACTTCTTGATACACTTCTAATAGAAGGAGAACATGTGTTTTGGGAGCATTTGTATCTATCCACACAAACGTTTGGAGCCTAATGGCTTTCTCGGCATCTGAATGGTCTTCTAGAGGATCGAAAGACCTCATTACCTTCCACTAGCAAACTAGGTGCCGATTGTGCTTCTCAAACAACACTACCCAAACAACACGATCTGGGCCAACGGGTACGTACCGGTGCTGCTTTTTTGTAGGCGTCTCATTCTCTGTCATTTCTGGCATGATTACAGGGACAGGGACCTACAGAGCCCGGGAAAGACACAGCGGGAGGTGTCACACATCAGTCCGAGACTTTAGAACACATGATTACCAACAATTTGATTTGAATGCTGAAAGGCTAAATATATATATAACTGACATCATAGAAAAATCACTAGAAAAAATAAGAAAGCAAAAAGTTATCATTAGCAGATGTGAAACATTATCAACGTGGAATGTAAATGCCTGTAAAGACGGAGAGAAAGATCACTGTGAGCTTAGGAAAAAGAGGATGGAGACTTAAGTAAAGAAAAGGAGCAAGTACATAAACGTGTGGAAGCAAGCATTTATTCATACATCCTTTCCCTGGTTCCTTTCATTTCGACTGCTGGAAGTCTTTCTATTTAAAATATCTGAACACTAATAAAATATAGGCACTTTAGGGAACGTATACATATATAAGAAAAAAATCTAAACTCAAACACGTTAAAGTCTTAATTACTGATGTGTAAGTCATTTACTATTATAAGTCATGTAATAGTATGGGTTTTATTTCAATCTCTTCTCAGAGGCTTAGGCATTTTGTAATGAGAACTTTGGTTGACAGACCCTCCAAAATGGGTGCCACCTGGGGGCACCCATTCGGGGACACTGGAGGAGATGTCGGTATGGTTACCCAAAGGCAGCACAAAGTAAAGAAAACCTGGCTCTGCCGCTCACTACCAGGGAGGCCTTGGGCACGTGACCTCGGATGCTTTCCCCTCGAGAACGGGTCACAGAACAGTGTCCATGCCATTGGGCTATTGCAAGAAGAGAATGAAATAACTAGGCACAGCATGCCTAGCATGTGGTGCAGACTCAGCAAATTCCACCCAAATTAAATATTTAGGGTGAAGGCTTCAGCTGGGGGAGGGATGGGGGGGGGGGCGAGCCTGAGGACATCAGTGAGTGCAGGTAAGGTGATGGCACAGGCCCCAAGTGAAGGAGCCTGCGGAAAAAGGTGGGTTCAAGACCCATTACCAGCTCGTCCCTACTTTTCAGGAAGGCCCACCTCAGCCTAGAAGCAGTGCTTGCCTATCAGATAAGTATATAATGATAATTTGGCCCACAAGATTAAATTTTTGAAAAAGAAAGGCAACTCCCTGTCATCTGTCTTACCCAAAAGGGTTTGCAGAATTTCTTCACTTTTGACTCCCGGCTTCCGATGCTTCCGGTTTCTGACCCGAATCTATCATATTCTGCCAGAAGGTGGTCTATATGTTACATTTTCTTCTTACTACACAAGGGGGAACAAAGAATATTCACAGTCACTAGGTTTCTATTAAGGAGCACAGAGGCAGAGCTGTGAGGTTGACAGCCTTGGAACCGCCTTTAGCAGCTGTGCTCTGCCCTGTAGACCGGAGAGGAGTCTAAATCAGCTCAATGGCAAAGAATGGGTTTCTATCAGCAGCACTATGCACAAGGGCCCGCAACCCAAGGTGCACAAAGTTTGAGTGGCCCGCAGGATGTACCAGAATGCTCCGCACCACTTGAGAGCAAATGAACATGGCTGCTTTCAAACACCACCTTTCAATGGCCCTGTGTTAGACAGGGTTCTCTAGAGAGATAAAACCAAATTGCTGATAATTTAATATATTTATTTATAAAGATAAGTAGATATATAACAAGGAATGAACTGTTAAATCATATACATACAGTTAAATATATAATACAAGAAAGAAACAGTTAAATTATAAAACACTACAAATGGCTCAATTCAACTCACTGCCGTGAGAGAGATGTGAGAGACTAGCAGTCCTTCAAGTCCAATCTGCTCCCAGATCTTCCTCTATTTATAGAGAGAGCTAGGCTATATCAGCACAGCAGCCAATCAGAAGGCAGGTCACCAACTGCCAGCCAGGTCACCAACTGCCAGTCCCCAGCTCCAGTGATGTCTTAAAGGGACCTCAACTTACAGCGACACAGTCCACAGGCTAGGCGTCCCACAGGTAGTGTAGCCTTTAAATTGAAGCACAGGACAAGCAAGGCAGCCGCACACTGGTCCGATGATCAAAGAGCGAGAGACAAGAAAGGCGAGACTCACCAAACCATTTATCTCTCTGCTCTTCAGTTAATCCCACTTGTGTTTATCGGCCAGGCTGGCACAATAAACTATTTCAGGCCCCAACCCAGAAAGATGGTGATCCCACCATCAATGGATAGTCTTTCCCAAGGAAATGATTCTCTCCTTTCTCCCAACACTCTGCCAGTCAGTCCCTCATTGGAACTCACTGCCTTCAAGTTACTCAAGGTCATCCACCCTGGTCTTACCCTAAGGTCTGTCCTCAGTTTCAGAGCTGTCTTTCATTCCAGCTCCTGTTTCTGTGATCCTGTGAGCGTGACAGGAAAATGACGCAGAGGTCTTCCCCCATGGCAGTGACTCAGAAAAGACGGCCTCCAGTCCTCATGTTATCTGTGGGCTTGACATGCTGGCTTAGGGGCCTAAATGCTGATGGAGATGTGAGCACGAAAAGCCCTGGGCAGGGTCTACAACTGCATCTTCAGCTTAGCTCCTTGGATGGGTTTGTTTGGGCCTGAAGCACAAGTCTCAGAAACTTAGTTCCAGACTAGAGTATTGTTTCCCAAGCACTGATGACTTTAAGAATTACCTGGTTTTTGTCCATTCATGAATAATAATAAAAACATACTGCTGAGAAAAGAATTACCTGGAAGTATCTGTAAGAACACAATTCTCAGCTCAATCAAGATCTAATCGGTCTCTAAGGGAGGAGTGATTAGCTTTAAGGGAGAAGTATGGAATTTAATGAGCACCCCCAGGTGATTCTCTTCTGGAAATTTTGCAAAAATGGATAGGATGCATAATTTGGTTAAATTTCAGCTATCTTAATACTTCATAACACACAAATAATTGCAACCCTGGAGGAGAAAGTAGAACTGCACCTATGGGACTTCCTTCCAAGGCTGGACATTCATTCTCACAGCACCTGACTCACAGTTTTCTCCTGTAGACAGGCCAGGCGGTCTGCACCACTACACCACCAGGTTATATTCCTTCATATCTCTAATAAACCAAAACCAAATTCACTGTCATCGCGTTGATTCTGACTCAAACGGTCCCGGTGGGTTTCCAAGACTGTAACTCTTTACAGGAGTAGAACACCTCATCTTGAGTCCAGGGAAGAAGCAAATGTTCTAAAATTGATTGTGGTAATGACTGTACAACTCTTCTTGATAGGATTGGAGTTGTAGGATATGTGGATGAAGTGCCAATAAAACTATTTTTTAAAAAGGAAAGAAAATCTCCTGTGGAGTGGCTGCTACTTTTGAACTGCTGACATTGCAGACAGCAGCCCAACATGCAATCCGCTCCGCCACCGGGGCTCGGTTGATGTCCTGGTGTTGTTGTTGTTGTTGTTGGCAGTCATGGAGTCCATTCGGAACCACAGAACGAAACACTGCCTGGTCCTGCACCATCCTCACCGCTGTTCCTCTGCTTGAGCCCATTGTTGCAGCCATGTGTCAATCCAGCCCCTCGAGGGCCTCCTTTCTGCTGCCCCTCTACTTTACCAAACACGATGCCCTTCCCCAGGGACTGGTCTCTGGACAACACGTGCAGAGATGAAGTCTCCCCATCCTTGCCTCCAAGCAGGAGAGATTATTTACAATGCAGCTTGTCAGCTGACCAATATTATTTTACCTGAACACTAGTAAAGCTATCGCTCTCTACGCACAACGTACATCGGCATCTGGTCATTCGCATCCCAATTGTATGGACTGCCAGAAGAACAAACAAATCTGTCTTGAAAGAAGTGTAACCAGAATGTTCTTTAAGAGTGAGCATGGCAAGACAGATTTGTCTTACCCGCTATGCACGTGTTATTACAAGATATCCGTCCCCGGAAGAGGACATCATGCATGTCAAGTAGAAAGTCATCGAAAAAGAGGAAAATTTTCAGAGAAATGGATTGAATCAACACAATGCTGCAGGAATGGGCTCGGCCATAACAACTGTGCGATGGCATGGGACCAGGCAGTGTTTCCGCCCATTATACAAGGGCTCGGTCTGATTCGGATGCCATTTGGTGATACCTAACAACAATCACACGCCAGTTCCTGTCTTTCCCATTGTGTTAGACAGGGTTCTCTAGAGAGAGAAAACCAAACTGCTGATAATTTAATATATTTATTTATAAAGATAATTAGATATATAACAAGAAATGAACTGTTAAATCATATACAGTTAAATATATAATACAAGAAAGAAACAGTTAAATTATAAAGC